CCTCTTATTTTTTCATTGAGCCATGTGTTGTCAATTTGGTATTGGTTGTCTATATAGGGTCCACATAGACTATGTCTATGTGTATCACCTCCATTGTTACACATAAACTTAGTCTATGTGTAGCCCCACATAGATATCCAATGAAATTGCGACACGTCAACGTTCTTAAAAAAGAAAGAAAGTGAGTTGAGCGGGAGAGTTAAGCGGTAAAAAGGTGTGAGATTCCCGCCTAAGAAGAGATCGAGCAGCGGTAAAGGATGAAATTATGGTGCCATTTTGTTAAAAAATATTACTTTCTCGACCAAGGTATGTTATGTACTTTTAGAAACAATTTTTATGGTAATGGCCAATGAAGTTCTAGTCATTCGTTGAATCAAAGCTGAAATAAGAAGTTCAAAACATTATTAGGCGACATTGACGGTAAGATTTTTTTTATCAATTGATCAGGTTTAAAATGTATAATTGAAATTTTTTCTCTTGATTTGATGTAATGTAGTGAGTAAGTTAGGAAATATGTTATATTTGATAAAAATGATTTTTACAAGGAAATATAATTGGTTTGAAGTTATAAGGGTTGAAGAAGATATGCTTTTAGTTTTGTAATGGAATTCGAATCCATGGATTTATTTTTTGATAAAATTTGGAATTTTGTGTTTTGTAGTTAATAATGTATAATGTACCTTTCTCATGAGTTTTTAAAATTATTTTAAAGCAATTTTAGTGAGATATTAATTTTTTTAGTATGAATATAATCATATTGGTATAATTATGTATTATTAGATGTACATAATATAATTATGGTGGAGAATAATTTATGAGTTTAATTATGCTATGCAGGGTTGGGTTGTAGTGTAATGGCAAATGTGGAGGGCAATTTCATTGATCTAAATGAGGTGTTTGAGGACTGTGAAGAAGAGGATCGGGGAATAGCAAATGATCCAAAAGATGGAATGACCTTTGTGAGAAGAGTATGCCCAATTTTGCCATAATTATGCGTTTAAAAAGGGTTTTATGTTCTTCACTGAAACTAGCATAATAATGGATGAGTACAAGAACGACGGTGTTACTCAAACAAGGGTAGGGAAGTATAAGACAATGTATCATATGATGCAACGAATAAGATTTTAAATGTAAAATGGGGGGTGTAAACAGAGCAAATGGTCAAACGTCACAGGATGCAAATTGTTTATTGATGCTCGTTTAGTAGATGGGAAAATGTAGGTACGTGGTTGTAAATTGGATCACAATCACCCAATTGATCCATCATGTAGCCGGCCACCGTACCAAATTGTTTTGCCTTTCTTAAAACCCTTGGTGAGAAGTACAAATTCAAAGTGAAAGAGGTGAGAGAAGGAAGTAGCTAATGAAACCAGAGAGTAGTCTTGTTAATCATGCTTATAAATATTTACATAATCTAAGAAAATAAATAAGAAATAGGAAAATAAAAATTACTTACTCCATAATAAATAAAAATTGTAAAATAAGTTAACAAAAATTGTAAATTAAGCACTTATTTCCTAATATTCTACGACTACAATTAATGTTGTGAATTTGGATTGCAATTATAAAATATCTATATTGGCGGATATTGCTAAAAATTAACCATATTTTATTAAATTATGGTTAATAGCATAAATTTTTTTTTCAAACCCATATTATATGACATCATTAGTGAAATTAAGACATTTTAACATTGTTAAATTCCATAACATTACGCTTAGTAAATCAGTAAAATTTATATAAATAGAGTAACTTGAAAAATTATAGAAACTGTAACGCTAAAAAAATCGGACAAAAACAAAACTGGACCAATTATTTAAAAATAAAATAATAAATGGTGTATGTATTTCAATTTTTTTAAAACAATATATGCCTCGACTAACCCCTGGCCGAGAAACTCAAGTAAGCCTGAAAACTTTAGTAACCCCTATCCAAGAAACTCAAGTAACCCTGGAAAACTCAAGTAACCCCTGACCGATAAACTCAAGTAACCCCAAAAAATCAAGTAATCCATGACTTAAAAATTCAAGTAACCCCTATCGCACGGTACAACAGGCCGCACATAAAAAATTGTGTTAAAAATAAAAACTATTGGGTTAAAGCGGTGACCATGAAAGAGAAAGAGTTAATATTAAATTGTAGTTTTACGCAAAAAATGAAAGTATACCACCTACACGACTGCATAAGATAAGTGTAATACTTATTTAAAATACAGAGAGAGTAGGTAACTCTTACCTTTTACAAAAATATAAAATACTATATTCATATATGCCTTCACCTTATATACGCCTTATACAAATCTTATTTCAGGCTAGTTGCCTTCCCATTATACAAATTAGAATTTTGTTCCTTATAAAAATAAGTAAAATTACAATAGGGTTATTCAGGTCTAATAAATAATTGCAATGACTTTAATAAGCTCTAATAGATATAAATAAAGTCTTATAACTTAAAAAAAACTACAATACGTGTGATAACATAAATAATATCTAATAAGTTCCAATAAGTTTAATAACGTCTCATAAGTTCATAAAGGTCTTTAATAAGGTCTAATGAATATAAATAAGGTCTAATAACTTCCAATTAGTTTAATAAAGTATAGTTGTAGACACCCTAGTTGTAGAAACCCAATTGTGTCTCCCCCAAAACCAAACCCGGTAATGAATACCTTTTGCATCGAATCATAATCGAATGAAGTGGAAGTGTGGAAAGTCTAATGTTGCGGTTAGTTTTTATTAAAAAATCTTTCTTTCTGTTTTTTAAAACCTACTCTATTTTATGAAAATAACCCGTCCAGTTCAGTTTGGTCCATGAAGGGTCCAATAATGGTGTAGTTGGATGGAGCTCGAAAAGAGCTTTCCAACGATATATTATAAGCCCAATTCTGATGAATAATGAGGAAGTTATGGCCAAAATACTAAAATGGGCCCAGTTTGGTACTTATTTGCGGCCCAATAATTTAGAGGAGGGCTTATTATTAATTATCATTCCTAAAGCTATTAGGATTGATTATAGTCTTCTAGAATCTTCTAAAAGGATCTTTTAAATCCCAATAGGATTAGGATTGATAATTATGTTTTATGAGTTTTATTTGGAATAAAAGAAGTGTTTTATATGAAAATACGATTTTACCTTTAAACATGGATTTTACGACTCGTTTCAATCAAAAAGTTGAAAACACGTTGAAAACCTTCTGCATCGCCAAACGATAGGTTCGACGCTGGCGACAGAAGAATGTTTTATTCCATTTCGAACTCTGATTCGTTTCTATCGATTTTGGACTATTTTCTTATAAATAGAGTCCATGGACCTCCGTTTTTCAATAACCTGAATTCTCTAATTCTCTTCTCTCTCTAAACTAAAGCTTATTCTTTCTCCCTCTTTCTAGCCTAGCCTTTTACAAACACAATTCCTCATACATTAGCACTAGACTCACCTAGCCAAGTTCAAAGTTGCCTTTGCTCTAGACGTGAAGGTTTGTTATTTCTGAGGGTTTGGTCCAAATCTCTATTTCAATTATTTAATTTAATTGTTTGATTTATATATTTCCTTGAAGTTACTAACGTGTGTATTTTGTTATCAGAAAGAGGTACGAGACATCAAAGTATGTAATTTAATTGCTTTATTGATCTTTTGATATAGAAATCATGCTTAGATTATTTTATTTTCTAGTATCATGTTAGGAGGTCTTTATTACTTCCTAGTATCATGTTTAGGGTTGATATTTTCTAATATCAAGTATGATTAAAAGAATGCTTTCTATTTCTTTCCTAATATCATTTTAGTATTATGTTAGGGCTAAAATTTTGATCTTTAATGCTTAGTGACCTGCTAGGGTTTGCTATTAATCTTGTTTAGTATCATTCTTAGGGTCTTGCTATTATTATGCTTTATTTTTAATATGATTAATTTAATTATTATTGTTATGATTTATGATTATTATGATTGTTATTTTGATTGTGATCACAATTATTGTTGTTATAATGTTGCTTGATTGTTTTTATTGTTATTGCTTGATCACACCTTTTATGCATGTTTAAAGAGAATTGTAATTGTAATCATGCTTAAGAAAATAATTAATAATCTTGTTTAGGGCTAATATGATTATAATTCAAGTGATCACCAATAATAGATTTATTTGTGCATTAATATTCAACCAACATAGATAAGCAGGTTTAGGGTTAACCTAATGATTGCATGTTAGTCAGAAAGCGCACATGAATACGAGTAGAATAAAGTAGAGGCCTTTTATTATGACAAGTTCTTTCTCTTTTAGATTGGATCTGTACCATCATCCCCGAACTTCATTCCAGTCTTGGTTCCAGACCTATTGGAGTTAACGATCTCCTGGATCGTTAAGGGGTGTAACCTTCACCCTGTGAACGGTTTACAAGTTCCTAAAACTTGTTGGCGACTCTTTTGCTCTAGCTTCCTTCCCTTTTGACGCCACCATGCTTAAGTTTATGATCACAGTGGGGTTCAAGTTTGGGATAATGGTTGAAATATTCCCTACAATAGTAAAATAGTTGAGTAACTAGATATCAGAAGTTATTTTTCCTAAACTAATAATTTGTCATATCTACACTTAATTGAGCTTAAGACTTTTTTTTATCACCTTCTTTTCAAGTCTTTCTAGTGTAACAAGCTTAGATAAGTTTAATTAAGGATATGTTCTGTATACCTTATTTTCACTTATTCCACCTGTAAGAAGTTCATGTTTGTTGGTACAGATTAATAAGTTTAGAAAAGAGTTTCCCAAATACAAATTACAACTAAAATATGTTTGAATAAGGTCTAATAAGTTTAGAAAATTCAAAATTAGGTGAATAAAACACACCCTTAGTTCAAATAAGTTCAATTCAGGTTTAATAAGTTCTGATAACACTACAAGAAAAAGGGGAATTAGCAACTGATATTTGCGACTACCCTAATATTCAGTCGCAAAAAGGGGAATTAGCAACTGATACTTGCGACTACCCTTAGCAATTTAGCATAACGTGTTACCACTAAACACACAATAAATCACTCCTTAAGTCATCATTCATCAATAGTTCCGTACAGACTCTTCTTCCTTAAAAAATTTTTTTAAAAAAAATAAAACGCAGAAGGCCAAGTTCACAGACTCAACATGTCACCGTCGATCTTCATCTGCCGCCGCTGCGCCACCAATTCTCCTTCCAGGTTAGTTTAACCGCCTGACGCCGCTCCATCTTTTGCTTACTGTAATTTTCCAATTGTGAATTTTAGGGTTATCATTGAATTTATTGTCCAATTTTTGAATTTATTCTGGTTTCCATGGTTTAATTGAAGTTAATTTTTGAAAAATCATTCAAAATTGATTGATAATACAAAAAGCCTTAATTATTTGCAATGTAACAATCCCGAGTTTGATAATTCGAACCTTTATTTTCTCTCTATTAGTGTAAGAAAGGGGGTTGATTGGTTAAAGTGTAGTTCTAATTTGTAATGGGATAATCAGTGGATGGAGAGTATTGAGGTTCGCCTAAACTTCATTTAATTTCTGGTTTTGCTCTGATTTAATTCTGTTTCTGGGCTTAAATTGCTACTGCTTGGTTACCGACTTACCGTGACAATGGGATCATCAATGATAAAACAACAGAAATAATGTTAGACTACAAAGTAAATCCAATGTAGCATGTTAATGTGTACCCATTAATGCATGAAAGATAAGTTTATTCTGGGTAAAAAAAATGTGCTACTTGTGGAATGAAAAGGCTGCCTTATTTTTATTTGTTAAACTATAAAGTAAATGCAATGCAGCATGTTGATTTTAAACAGCGAGGAATTTGTCAAATTGCAACTAGTCAGAGCATGGCCGACAAAATACAAATTATGATAATTTCCTATTAATTGTACTCTAGTAATCCAGGCATCTTCAAATTAATGGGCTGGTCAAATTAGCTTACAGATATCATGTGTGGAATGTGGCAATGAATAATACTCGTACTGTGAAGGGAATTAGTGGTGAATATCAATTTCAATAATTAAGGGACATTCCTGTGTGAATGAGGGCATTATAAACTTTTTTAAGCTGAATTCTTTTGTAGAAGACTCTTATTGTTTGTGCTGGTGCATATAGGCTATTGTGTTGTCCTTTTAATTATATAATGCTGCTTATTGGCTTTATCGATTTGCAAGGAACATGAATTTATTTGGGTACTCAACTTTTTTGGCTATCATTTGGATTTTATGGCTGGAAATCAATGAGTAAATAATTAGATTTGGTTTTTCTATTTGTGAACTTTGTAGAATAAAGCAGTTTTCCTTGCATTTCTATGTTGTTTATCTGTGGGTAAATTTTCCTTTAATCTACTGCAATGTAGGAGTTTTTGGCCACGGTCGCTAGCCATGTCCAATTCTTATGCAGAGCTTAAATTGACCCAACTCTTATTCTATACTTCAAGATCTTTGTCAGGTCACTTTTGTAAAAATTTTCTGTTTTCGGTTTTACATATTTCAATTGTGGTTGTCGAATTATTGTTTGTTAATTGTTATAGTTTATGCGATTAGAAATTTAGAATCTAGATTATTTAATCTGATTGGCTTTATTTCCTGCAACGAACTAGCGTGGCGCGATAAAGAAAAAATGGACGGAAGGTTGTTTTGGATAGAAAAGCTTAAAGCTTGCGTACACTCGTTAATGGCTTTAGGCCATCACTCTCCAAGAACTTACTACTATCATATGCTGCCTAAACTTCTCTACTCTAGACTACTCTATTTATACTACTACTACATTGCATAAGTTGGCAACAAGGCCTTAATTACTACAAGTACTACTCTTGTCTTCTTTCCACTTTTGCACAATACAAACAAATGGCCTAAGGTGGCCTGTCTGCCCTGCTGCTCATCTGTCCTCTGTCTCTCTTTGCTTGCTGTTGTTGTTGGTCTCTGTTGTTGTTGTAGATCTGCCCCTGCTGCTTGCTGTATGTGAGTGTCACAGGTGGTGGCAGGAGTGGGTTCGTTGCATTCCCCTATTTGATTGATAATATATTGGAGCATGTTACTTTGGAATCTGCATTTAGGTTTTGTACAGACTTTGATTTATCTGAATTAGTGGAGTACTTTTCTTTTCTTAAAATTTACGTATGTCAAAGATAGAAAAAATGTCAGAATGATGGTTGAAATGATGTGTTGGTTTAGATTTCAATTGAACTTTTATCTATTAAGGTTAGAGCTAGACATTGCAAATTAGCTTACATGGAAAATTAGTATAAACTTTTGGGCATGGGTTATTGATGTTCAGTAAAAATGATTTGTGGCTGATATGGATAGTTTGGCTCTTTGATCATTCATACTATACTACATTTAAAGTCGTGTTAGTCTAACCATCCTGTTTACGAGGGTGAGGGAGAGTGATGGGATAAGTTTGATCAAAGATCCAATATTAGTCTTTCAAAAAAGATCCAATATTACAACTACAATGGGATTGCTTCATTAAACTCGTGAGTGATATAGAGTTAAAAAAGTATGTTATTTATTCTTACTTTTTTTTCCCACAGGTTAAGTTGCTAAAGAGAAGTATATGTACTTGGATGCTTTTTGCTGATTTTTGTTGCATTTGTTCTCTCATACGCATCACTTTTCTTTCTTCTCCAAGGTTGATGATACCAATTCATGCATGTACAATAAAGGTTAGAAAAAGTATTCCAATTTGATCTGACATGGTGTGCATCAATACATGTCATACAATAAATATTGATTTCGGCTTTTTGTTGATATTGCAGGGTGGATTTCTTCAATATATTGATTAATTGTACCTGGCAAAGAGACGTGATTTTTAATGATAGCTCAACGAGGTTAGAGGATTACGATTGAGGTTATCTAGAGTAACTTATTTCAGAAAACAACTTTGTTAGCAATTGAAGATGTATATGTATAAGTAGATAAAGGTGAGCTTATATGGTTTAAATTATTGAGCAGTACGAACACTCTTATGTAATGTAAGCACTCTTGTAATGTAAAAGTTGGTTAATATTTTGTGGTATTTACCAAAAAAATTAAAAATTCAATAGTTGCTTTGTGTTGATGATGGTCTCCAAATATTGATAGTCAAATTTAGCGATTGCAGATTTGTTTAGAGACTCAACGGTTAGTTACAAATTAATTGATCTTAGTAGTCTCTAATCTGTCGCCAAAAAAAAAAAAAAAAAATCGTCTTCGTAGTCGCAAAAGTTTGGTCTCGTAGTCGCTAATCTGTTGCAAAATAAATTAGTCTCCGTATACGCAAAAGTTTGGTCTCGTAGTTGCTAATCCGTTGCAAAATAAATTAGTAGTCGCAAAAGTTTGGTTTAGTAGTCGCTAATCCGTCGCAAAATATTGGTCTTTGTAGTCTTAAATCATTGGCCTCTGTAGTCGCTAATTCGTCGCAAATATTTTACAACGGGCAATGTTTTAGTTGCTAAAATTTTGAAGTTAGTTGCTAAATGGTAGTTGCAAAGTCGTTGCAAATCTGTCGCTAAATTTGCGGACTATCTAAAAATTAGTCGCAAAAATAGATTTGCGACGAGATCTTTAGTGACTAACCAAAGTAGTTGCAAATTCGTCGCAAACCCATTTTTGCGACGGATTTGTGACTACTTTGGCCGTTGCTAATTCACCTTTTTCTTGTAGTGTAAGAGAACCCAAGATCACATTACAACTAAAATAAGATTTAATAAAATGTAAGAAGTGCAGATAATTTCTTATCAGCAGAAAAGAAGTGAATAGAACACCCTATTTACACAAATTTCGAATCTAAATAAATAAAGACGGGAAATAAAGTAACAAATGAATTTATATTAATATATGAAAATAAAATAAACTAATTCCTCTGAATCTATTCCGCAGCTTGACGATGACACGTGTATGACGTTTGATGACGTCAACTTGAGTTTGAACGCAGGGTGACGTTTGATGATGTCAACCTATATTTCAAGGGTTTTGTTTGAATACACTTGAATGAGGGCTTATGAAGCTTAATCCCGTTCAAATGTATTTGAGTGTATTTGAACAAGTCGGCACGAGTTTGATGTGCTTGTTGGCTTACTTCAGAGAGAATTTCGTTTGAGTTGTATGAGCTCTTGGAATAATGATTTCTGGATCCCCTCGACTGATGGAGGAATGGTGTATTTATAGGAGATGAGAACCCCTTGAGTTACTTAGTAGGTTTGGGCCTGGCCCATTTTGTGACTTAGAAGTCTTTTATCCTACTCTATTTGACTTATTTTATAACCCGAATTGTATTTGATTAATTCGGATTAATTATTTGGGTGGGCCCAAAAATAATTAAAATGGATCATTAACATGATTTAACCCCAATTAATTTATTTAATTTAATGTATGACACTTATAAAATTTTCGTGTCTACAAATTGCCCCCTCGAGACTATGTCACATACACGATTTGAAGTGTTTGGTGTGACAAGGTCTCGACCCTTTAATTTGACTTGGAAGTCACTAGTACTTTTTTTGTACTGGGTTTGATTTATGGGAATTCTCGAGCTTCAAGGTTAGACTCCCAATTGCACTAGATTTTAATCTCCTAAAAGATAATTGTCAACCGAAACCTATAAAAATAAGGAATTTGACCCCTCTATACCACATTATTACGGACTTATGGTAGACATACTTTGACGAACAAGGTAGCCGACTTTCCCTTGCAACTGCTTTTTATTTGTTTTTCTTGAATTTGCGGCTATAAAGATAAATATCCGAACTCATACCCTTCTTTTAAACCAATTATCGAAGCAAGACTTAATTACAATCACACTTTGTCTTGTTCCCAGTATTTAATTTGAGTTGGCTTTTAAAATTTCTCTGACATCTCCACTTTCGATTGTCATTGCAGCAAGTCAATCGTTTTGAAGTAGGTAATTGATACTCAACTTTTGCTTTTCTTGTTTTAATTATTCACTTTTCATCCAATACAAATCAACCATGATGTAAATTATACTTCATAATTAAATTTGCGGTACAACAAGCATAAGAATTAGGGATTTATTTGCCGACTTTGCCAATTTTGTCCCGTAGTGTTTGTTTGCCGTGTTATGCGAACTTTGTCTTTTGTAATCACCAATATGGTATATTTTTGCCACTAAAGATCCACTAATTGCTTGAATCCTGTTGCAATTTGATGCAATTATCTTAGTGTAGTAATTGTCAGCTAATACCCAGTACCCAATATTTGTATTGTTCACTCTGTATTGTCTGACCTCTTTTAGTTCCTTGATAATTTGATAAACTAACATGTCTTTCTCTTTTCATCATTGATGTTAGTACTCAAATCAAAAGAGCTCTCGTGATCTTGGATCGTTGTTAGCAGCAAGAATCTTCAAGAATCCGTCAGTAAGTACTGAACGGTCCTATTTTTTTTTTCTTAGCATGTGCACCAGTTTATGGTTCTTTATGTGACATATGACAGATTCGCAAGGTAGTCATACGTTGCCGCACATATCGCGATGGGTCAGGACTCTTTGTTATGAACCCATCGGGGATGTCAAGTCATGTATGCCAGTCGTTATGAATTTGACATCATAAGACTGGTCGGACAACTTGAAGATTTAAAGTCGCTCTTGTCGCGATGAGTCAGGACCCTTTGTTATGAACTCACTGAAGACGTTAAGTCATGTATGCCAGTCGTTATGAACTTGGCATCTTTATGACAGGTATGATAACTTCAAGATTTGAAGTCGCCCTTGTCGCGATGAGTCAGGACTCTTTTTTATGAACTCATCGGAGACGTCAAGTCATGTATGCCAGTCGTTATGAACTTGGCGTCTTTAAGACAGGTCTGATGACTTGAAGATTTGAGTCTCCCATGTCGCGATGGGTCAGGACTTTTTGTTATGGACCTATCGGAGATGTCAAGTCATGTATGCAAGTCGTTATGAACTTGACATCTTAAGACTGGCCTACTCGAAATTCCATTACGAGATTGACTTCATGACATACTCAATATACATGTACCATGTCAAACACTCTAACATTTTTTTTAGTCTTTGATCATGGACAAGGTATGCGTAGCGAAATTCAATAAAGGTTCTCAATCCCATCTTTCTCTCGTCGACCAAGAGAGTGACAACCCCAAGACTAGCATGCATCTACAAATTCGACAATCATTGCGACGGCCTAACGACATGCAAACAAATATTTGTAAGAAAAATTTCCACAGTGACATGTCTATCGAGATTACTAATGTCTCCGACACCACAAAGGTTTACAAGCTCCATGACACCCTTCAACAGACAACTTACTTACATTATTAGGTCGTTCCATTATTGAAGGGTCCGTGAGATGGGGATCCATTGTTCTAAAGATGTATGGTGAATCATGTTTCATCCTAGTCTATCGATAATGGACATTCTGTGTCGCTCGAGGGAATATCTAGAATCCGCATCAATCTACAACGTTGTCTATGCCACACTTTACTCCTATGACAAAAATTTGCATGTTTTACGAGCATTCTGTGAGAGTTGGTGCCCTACCACAAACACACTCCATACAATGTCATGAGAGTGGTCCATTTCACTATGGGATTTGCATAGACTTGGTGGCTTACCTATTTATGAGAAAATTTATGATGAGATTGTCCCTTATTCTGCGACCTTAATAGCAATAAATGAGGACAACAAATGGTATATTTTGAAGGCTTGTGAGCATTTATTTGTTGCTTATCATTGCCTTTACAAAGAATTGGGTTCAAGGAGGGAGGTTTTAGCCAAAGAATGGATTAGATTTTGATGCTAGAAGCAAATTTGCTATGCCGCACCACCAAAGAGGACAAGATATCTCTCGACTCCTCATAATCTAAACATGACCCTGGCGGAACTTTACCAGACATACCTACGGCGTGGACAAATGATGAGTTATCCATATTTGAGCGTTTAGGCCTTCCCGACAACAATAGAAGAGGAACTACCTATATTGATACTTTCTTGTCTTGTTAGTTATGCACATTTGTTCTTCCGCATTGTGATAGCAGATCGATAAGACCCGCGATGTTTGAGATTGCAACCTTGATGGCTTGTGGTAAACTGTTCAGCTTGGCAGTTTCTTGTCCTGGAAAGCATTTATCATGGTCTGCACAATATTTCAAGGTCTCCCAAACCTTCTTATTTTGGTTCATTATTACTGGCCCATTACTTGTATAGTTGGCTCGCATACTATTTTGGAACTCATCACAATCTGGATCTAGCTCTCCCATGCCCTTTAATGACTTTATTCTCGGGTTCTCAAAGTTTAAAGCATTTTAAGGATAAAGAAGCACGAGATATGATACATGAAGGGACCCCGACAATGGTTGGGTGTACCGTGCCAAACAAGGACAAGAACATTGCTTTGTTTGATGATGGGAAGCTTGGGATTCCACAATTTGGCTACCTCATGTCCCTTCGCTCTAGCTACATTCTTGTACGCTCTGGTTACAAATTTTTCATAGAGCCTTACAATCCTCATCGATTTGGTAGACAATTTGGGTTTTGTCAAGATGTTCCCGGTATGCTTACGCGTGTAGTAGATGATCGTCAATCTGTAGGCTATAATGAAGCTCTTCGGTATTGGGACTTTATTCTGTTTTGTGGTAGTCAATCCTAGGTGTTGACTCCTTTCCTTTCGTTGAATTGGTGTGACCTTGTAACTTGGGATTTTGGGTCTTGGTGGTCCAAAGTGACAGTTAATGACCTTACAAACAAGGTTGACGTCCTTTGCACAAGTATTGAAGCTGATCCCAACAAGTCTAGGAAGAGTCAGGAACATGCTAGTGACACGAGTGCTCCTTGACCAAAGACCAATGCTGGTGGTAAAAGGAGTCATGAACCTTTATCCAAGAAAGGCAACTCTAAATCGATGACAATTAGAGATGTCAGCCAAGGAGGAAGCTCCACTAGCGGAGAATCTGACATCAACTACAAGCATACACATAGGAGTAAAAGGTGATCAGGCGTTAATGAAGAGGACATCACTTTAAACGATGTGGACTCCTTTGGCGATATTCAAGATTTCCCTATCGTTCCCACTGAATACCACTTGTAAGTATTCGACACCTTTTTTTTGGAATTTATTTATTATATTTTTTATAGGATGATCAAGACTTCGAGAGTGTTGTTGCTGACTTCTTAGAGGTTGAAGCTATTTTACATGTACCAAGACCAACTGCTGGCAAGGGGAAGGGAATAAGGATCGCCACGAATAATTTTCGTGACAATTCTCCTAGTTTACCAAGGAAGGAAATACAGTCCCCCACTCAAAGCCTAAAGTTAGTAGATGGTCCTCATTCTGTTGAGCTTGCCTCCAAGGCTTTTGAGGTTCGACAATCAGTTGATGAAGACCGTACAGCTGCAATTTAGCATG